GATGAGATAAGGATTGGAAAGGGGAAGAAAGAAGAGAAAGAGAGAACAAGGAAACAAGGAGGGGTGACAAGGAGAGCAGAAGGTAGGAGAGGAAAGGAGATATATTCAGGAGAGGAGACGAGGTCAGAGAAATGAGAGGAGAGTTTCTTCAGCCACAGCTCTTTATTACTGTTGGGTGTTGCTGAGACATTTTCTTCTATCTGACCTGATCTATAAACACCAGCAGCAGGAGTCTCCGAGGCTCCTTTATGTGCCGAATAAATAACCCCCCCCCCCGCACCTCCTCTGCCAGCGCTAATGAAAAGCTCGGCACGTTAGCAAAGCCGAGTTTTTCCCACCGGCCGCTCGTCTGTGGGTCACACATGGCTGGTGTCTGTTTGTCTGTCCAAACGCTCAGTGAAGCAAAAAGCGTTGTGAGGACAAACAAGTTACGTTGATAAAGATTAATGATAGAGACGGTTTACTGCACTGTGGCGTGTAGACAAACGCACGCCACAGTGGGAATGTATGTCTGACGAGTGCCAAGTACGTCTTCACAGATGGATAGATCTGAAGGGGCAAATACAGAAAGCTTCGGGATAAAAGATGTGACTTGAGTCCTATTTTTCTACTTTTGGCCATCAGTTATAATAACGTTGAACTCAGCGAAGTAGTTTCTGAACAACAAAGTCCAGCGGGGCAAGAAACACGAGCAGTCAGACGACCACACAGGTTGTAAATAAGAGTTTGGTTCTGTTTTAGATCCGGTTCCAGGTACAGGTGTAATGTGAAAGGGTTCTCTTGTGATGATCTCACAGAGAATCAGCGACATGGGAGTGTTTTAGGGTCCGTCTTTAAACCGTGGTGGTGGTTTACAACCTGACGTAGCCACCCGGACGTCCCCCGTTGGATGGCGGACTACCCTTCTGAAGCCTTGAGTTTAGCATTTTGGCCGTCGCCATCTCTAGCTTTGTCAATAAGGTGCATCCGTAATTCACGTCAACTGTGCTATTAACCAGGATGCTAATTTTGGCTAGCGACAAACAGGCTTAAAACTGAATGTACTTCCCATAAAAATGAACAGCCGACACCTTAATAGTGTCTTTTAGTAAACCGACCGCTGAACCAGAGACATTTTTAGGTGACCCAAATGTTAGAAATAGACTCAATGCACTGAAGACACACTGTGAAAGATTGAGAAAGCAAAGAGAGCACCTAAAAAACAAGTTCACTGCTAATTAAATAAGCTTTTTCAACAGAGCTGGAAAAATGTACGCAGTGAACACGATTTTCTTCTGTCCCGACTGACAGTTCGCCCAGTTAGAGACTAAACTGGACCATAATTTACTAAATGAACATTATGCTGTATTGAATAAGACTTGAAACTAACTATTGAGACCATAAAGTCAAAGAAAGTTTTTACTGACATAATAAATCAGAAGGGAAGTTTTCTCATAGACTTCTATACAATCAGAGTGGAGTCGCCACCTGCAGGCCATTAGACAGAATGCAGGTTTAAGACAATTCCACGTTGGCTTCACTTTTTAGACCCGAAGATTCCCGCTTGGTCTGATCGTTTGACTGCTTGTGTTTCTTGACGCGTTTCATTATTACTAACAGAAATGAGACAGCCAAAACTACAAAATTAAGAGCTAGAATTATCTTTTAAAGTAGAGAGTCCACATGGCTCTAATGCCTCTTTGTAGGAGACAAGATCAAAGACGAAGTCAACAGTTTTGGCTAAAAGACTGGCGAGGATTAACACCCGACTGTGATGTCTGAAGAAAGGGTTTAAAAAGACCTTTCACGTCTTCTGAATGCTCGTGTTGTCGGTAACTGTGTTGGAAGAGAGGGTGTAGATGGAGGAAGCATCCGAGCTTGACAACAGCTCAAGTCGAACAATAAAAGAAAACAGTTTGTGGCGACAAGGTTCTGCCTGGAGCCTCGGGGGGGGGGACACCGGTACATCTCAGCGCTCTCAGGAACAAAAGCACTAGCAGACAGGCGCACCACCCAGGCTTTAAGAGGGATTATAAAGTGCACCACCTTTTTTTAATGCAGCGGAGCAGCAACTTTTCCATCAAACTCAGAAATGAACAGTGGGGGTGGTGCGAATGTGTCAAAAAATAAATCACCGCACAGGTCAACGAAAGTGGAAATTTGAGGTGCAGTAGGTATTTTTCGGTCATATTGTTTCTGGCAGTTCCTGTAGATGGATGGATGCTGTACTCCAACAGCCTCCGGTTAACAAACAGTTCACAATCCAAATGCATTAATTTGCCCGAGGCAAGTGCACACATTACACCGCCTTCTGCTGATCTTGTAACAGGCGTCAAGATGTTTACATCCTGCAGCCCCAACAGAAAAGGGCTGACAGAATACGATACTAAAAAAATAAACAAACTCAGATGGCAGCAAATTCTAGTTAATGACTAAATAGTTAGTTGTCCCCGCATGTGTATGATTGTTTTACTGTATTGTGATTCTTTACATTAACTATTATACAGGGGGCTTTATTTGACCCTCAAGCCACAACACAGTATGTACAGACTATGAGGACATTTACCTCTACTGATGCTGAACCAAATAATTACTCTCATTATTATTTACAGTACAAGTTCTACTGCTTGCACTGTGTTCGACATTAACACCATGTTTGAGGACATTATCTCAAGCCGGCTAAATTTATGCACACACACACAAATTAAACCCTTGTTTGACTGTTTGCTTTCAGGTTCTTTGGATAATTAATTTTAAAAAACAGCAGTAAGGGAAATTCATTGATATTCAAACCAGCACATGAGACAACCAGCCCTGAATAGTAATCCTCGAGGTCTCTGTTCCACGCTCGCCCAGATGGCATCGCCGTGTCAGGCGGAGGTCAGCCGTGTTAGTCATGTGCTCGTCGCCGTTACCGCTAATGGAAGCTATTGTTAAAAGACACCGTCCTTTCTAGGAATCATAATCTCACACATGAAAGTTGAGTCTCTAAATATGTCTGGGCTCCTGTGGGTGAGCTGCTTTATAGGGGGGAAAAAAACAATCTCTAAATAAACGTATAAATAAGAAACTGCATGTTTAATGGGTAAATTCAATATTCAATCAAAGTAGATTACCCAGAGGCCTCTGGGTGAAAATGTGGATTGGTGTGAGCAGTTAAGGTGCTCCCTGGCTGGAAGTGTTATCATGTTCTCGCTTCTCTGAGTATTTTCTGAAAGCTCTTCTTCTTTCTTTTTTTTTTTTTAAAGACCGTGGCCAAGGATGGGTCAAGGCTGCTCCCACTCAGCAGGCCGGGGGCAGCTCGGAGTGCCTGCAGGACCAGATAAGTCGAGTGGAGCTTCACATTTAAAAGGCTGTGCTTCGGAGTTCATCAGCCAAGTGCCGAGTTTAACCTCCTGTTCTCACATATAGACTCATGATGTGACCGTTTCTCTCATGAGCCTGGGTGCATTTTGAGACGGTCATTTACATATTCAGCTCAGATTGAGCTGAATTTATTTCTCTTATTTCTACCACACCGGACGAAGCAACGTGTTTTCACGCTGCATTTTCTTCAGTAGCTAGTTAAAGTTGCAGCATACTGAATGGAGAAGCTGTTTTTTTCCACCATTCTTAAACGTAGTTGATTTGAAGTAGAAAACAACTGTGCTGCTGTTTCCCAAAGGAAAAATTAGTTTGACTGGTCTCCAGGATGATATTTGCTTAAAGTTGAAAACTTCCACATGTCGCTGCCGGGACTTTACAGTCTTTAGCTTCCTGTCCCACCTCCATGTTTGGAGCTGTATGTGTGGACGGGGGTTGTAAGCATTTTAATTTTTGAGAAACTAAACACTTAATTGTAAAGTTAAACTACTGAAAACTTAATGTTGGCATTAATACACCAATAAATATAGAAATATTTTACTTTGGCCAATGTATCAAGGTATCTTAAGGTAAGACATTTTGGAAATGTTCTTTCGTGGTTCAGCTCTCGCTGTTTCTGTGGAGCAGCCAACACACTTGAAGACTCATCGCACCCTGGACATCACCTGTTTCGCCCGCTTTCCTCTGGTAGACGCTTCAGGTCAATCAAATCACATACAAACAGACTTAAGAACAGCTTCTACCCCGGAGCCACACGAGAACCAAACAGTGCCCAAACACTGACACTGACTTGCAGTTACATTCACAAAACACTGCACAGATATTTACATTTCAACTGTACCTGTAACTGTGTAAATGTCCAAACCTAGAGAGCAATATCTCAGCTGCTATATTATTCAGTTGTATATTTGGAGTTTAAGTTTTTAGCTCAAACTTTTTAATTTATTGTTTTATTATGTGGGTCAAGATTGCACTAAAGTTTTGTTGTTTTCTGTGCAATGACAATGTATAGAAGATAACCTGATAAGACAGGCGTGATTGTGGAAGTTCAAGTTTTAATTTTCTATTATATTAATTTGTAAAAACACAAAAATAAAATCACGTCTTTGAAACTGCACAACTTTTTCGAAATTCAAAGAGATGGTTTCCAGTTGTTTAAACAATTTAAATTGCTGCTTTTTTTGCTTCCATTAACATTTAGTTTTTCTTTTGCAGCCCAGTCTTCCTTTACAATGCTCCACTCCACTCTTTCACCCTCTATAAATATTATTTATTGCACACATTAAACTGAAAAGCTCGTCTACAAAAACAGATTTTTCAGGTAACCTTGAACCTTGTGCTTCACACTCTTGTCATCTTGCATAATAAGTCGTAGCTTTAGAGCTCTTAAAAGGCAATTCTGAGTAAACTAGCTTAATGGATTGGCCTCTTGGCTGGAACCTTTGTGCCACTGCTGCAGCACTGCCTGCTAACCTTGAGATTTAAAGGATGGGTAATGGGTAAGAGCAGCGTGTGGTAATTAGTGGATGAACGGCACGAGAGATGAAGATTCGGTGAGAGAATACACGGCTGGATCACGGTGAAATATCATCATCACTCCGACCTTGAGATATGAAATCACTCCGTGGCATTAGGGAAGATTATGTGGAGGCAAAGGATGTATCTGAATAGATCTGACTATGATAATAAAGCTAGTTTAATCAGTCACGAGCACCACCAAGACCTTCCTCGGGAAATAAAAAACACTTGCACGACAAAAACTTGATCTGTAAGCAAGCTAGGTTAGATCCAGTAACTCAAATGTCAAAAACACACATCAAGAACTGGTAAAAATCGATCTGAAGATGGTTCCCCCTCTGGTTTGTGTGTAATCTCATGTTGTCTGCTGGTTGGGCCTATACAGTTTCTCAATTCGCAGAAGTCGCAGGGGAAACTTCCTTTGAAGTGATGAAAGAGGCAGACGGAGCATCGGAGGTGGAGGTTTTAGAAGTGGAATACCTGCTGCTGGCCCTGGACTTTGGGGAAATCCTCTTTCTGCTTGCGGGTTTTGGGCCTCTCGAGGCTGCCCTGTTGAAGGTGTTTGAGCCTGGCTGCGACGGTGGGGCCCTTCGTCGGCCCCGGAGAGTTGCTGCTGTTCTGTGGGAGCCGGAAGAGAGGTAGGTGTCAACACACCTGACACTTTAATAAAAATTTTTTTTACAACGACAAATCCACGATCATCATACACACCACAAAGGTGCACTACATGATCAAAGGTACGTGGACACCCATGGGATTTTCTCCAATTCAGACACAAGAGCAACACAAACCAAGAAAAATGTACATTTTGTTCCCAGCTTTGTTCTGTCGCCTTTTTTGGTAAAATATATTTAGAATTGTTACAAAATAAAAACCTGACAAAAAACATGATTGTTAGTATGTTTTGTTTATAAATTTAGATCCATAAAAGTATTACTGAATTGGGTTTGCACAGATGATTGGATCTATTAGAATAAACAAAGAAAACCTGTGGTGGAATGTACATTAGTGAGTGAGTACTATACTTAAGTACGTTTTCGAGGTAGTATTTCCATCTATTACTACTTTATACTTCCACCCCACTACATTTCAAAGGTACTAACAGTAAACTAGTTGGTTTTTACGATATGATGCATAAAACTCATGCACCCAGTAGTATATGTGTGTAGAGTCGGCCCCACTTTTACAAACAGAATTAAAATGATCTTACATGTATTTGTTGGCTATAAAAACAGAACAACATAATATACTTTAATAATATACAGATATACTGATAATACTTCTTTCTACTTTAATTTGAAAGAATCTTTTTAGACCGTGGTATTTCTGCACTTACTTATGTAAGTATTAGCGGCATCTAGTGAAGGTTGCTAATGGCAACCAACAGCTCACTTACCGCTCCACCCTCCCTTTCCAAGCGCGTAGGAGAAGCGACGGTGGCCGACACGCTCTGTCGGCTCTTGTGCTAAATAATACGAATTTTCTATTTTATTCTTCTTCTTCTTCTTTGTACATATTCATCGTAGTGACAAAACGCGCTCTGTAGAGCAGTTTGTCCGTTTGGGCTACTGTAGAAACATGGCGGCTCAACATGGCGACGTCCATGTAAAGGAACCCGCAGTTAGGTAGATAGAAATGTCTCATTCTAAGGTAATAAAAACAAAGCGGTTCGTTATGTAAGTACTTTATACACCACTGAAAACATAGCTGTGCATATTACATTACATTTCTGTCAATAGATCCTCCTAAATATTACACTGTTGCTTTAAGCAAAGGAGTTTTAGTTCTTAACCTTTCATGAATTTGTAAACTGAACATGTTGACCCATGGGAATTACTGTTTTAATGACCAATATTAAAATCTGACTTTATTTTATTCTGCTGACATTACTCACCGCTGGCAACTTCAAACACAGCACGGTGCAATGAATTTAAAACACCTGCATGTGAGACAATACATTCTTTCAGAGAAACATTTCTCTCTGCAGCTCTGAACCTGAAATCTCCTCCCTCCCCCTGCTTTATTTTGACAGCTACCTGCTTAGCGCCATTCTGCGATAATTCCATGAAAAACAAGACCTGTTTACTTTAGCTAAACTTGTCACCAGAGCTGTCAAGAAGCGCACTCACTGCTCACAGGAAAAAACTGAATACATCATCTGCTTCAATCAATGACTCACTGCACATCACACCATCAGCGGGTTGCATGTTTACACTGCTAAAGCTCCAGTTAGCTGAGAGGATCAAACAAAAGATCTTATTAAGTTAATGTTCAGAGCTCACAGGAAGCAGAAAGATGAAGTCAGCAGAGGAAATGTTAGCAAGGTTAGAAAGAGAAGTTCAAGTGAAACCACACCATGTAATATATTGATCTTTCTTCTGCTATTTGGTTAAACATTTACTTGAAATTATCACATAAATGCGTTATTTTAAATTATACAGAAGTACATACGATGTTGTGATTGACATTAGGGCTGTACATATCGATTATTTTTCAAGTCGATAAATCTAACGATTATTTTTTCTTTATTTTTCGTTACGTGACTCGCGGTGTAACGTTACCATGACAGCAGCGGGGCAGAAATTACTTTTAACTTGAAGGCAATGAAGAAATACTACGTGTCCTCGTGCTGATGATGTGCCGTGCGCTTGTGTGGCGACAGATAGTAAACACGATTTGCGGAGCTGCCGTCTAGACAAAGTGCTGCGGGATACTTTCGTTTCACGTGAGGGTGAGAGGCAAGTTACACAACGCTCGCCTGTTAACAGAAGCCCACTGTATGGAGCCAAGGACTGGGAAGTTCCATCTGAGATCTTAGCTACCAACCAGAGACCAGATCTGGTCCTCTGGTCAAAATCCTGTCATTGAAATGACCGACCCTTGGGAGGATGCCGTGGAAGAGGCCTCAGAACGCAAGAAGCTGCGCTATGCAGACTTGGCAGCCGCGGAAAGAGGTTGGAAGGTGGAAGTACGCCCAGTGGAGGTGGGGTGCAGAGGCTTTGTCGCCTTTTCCACCGTAAGGCTGCTGAGAGAAGTAGGGGTCAGAGGAAAGAGTCAAAAAAGGACAGCAATTAAAGCCCTGGACAACACAGCAGAAAGGAGCTGGCTGCGGCTGAGGTGGAAAGACCCAACCTGGGCTACTAAATGACCACAAGCCAACCATGAGACACCCACCCAATGATATCATCATAACTGATGATGTGTCGTAATGATGGCTCTACCAGGTGGTCATATTCAAGACCGACTCCGTGCTGCTACAGTGCTGAATCTTCGGGGATTGTACCAACAAGTCCTATTTAATGAATCTAAAGCAGGGGTCTTCAATTAAAATTCAAGGAGGTCGAGAACATTTCACAAAGCAACAGGAACATCAACTTGCGTTATCATTCAGTAGCCTACCATAACGTATAGCCTAGTTGTATCAACATATGTTTTTAGTCAACAACTGACTGTCAAATCAGATAATATTTCATTTATTTCATTTCAGAAAAAAATAAAATAAACTGTAGCTTTTAGTGATTGAAGTTCAGTCTCAACCAGTTTGATACTCAACACATCTTAAACAAACAAACGAACTCCTCTTCTCTTTCATTCCCTCTTTTTTAGCTACCACTTCCTAGCTAGCTAGCTAGGATTGGAGATATACGAGATATTCCGGTTTTGAACTGCCTGTAAGAACAATGTACATGTGAGAATCTGTACATTCTTGGTTAAAAGCCATGTGAAAGCCAGTGTGAATATTCTGGTCTGTCAATGCTCATCAATGCACAGATAGAAGAACGTCTATAAAAACCAGACCAGGCGTTTAATGCTGTGTTCCCACACCCGGCCAGTAAACGGGGGACTCGGCTATTTTACGGTATCTGACATTAGTACTTTTGTTATTTGATTAAGTTTGATCATCAAGTGATTTTACAATATTTAAGGGCTAACAGTAGTATTTCAGAACAGTTTGATGATCATGATAATAACATTTACTGAGATATTTTTGGCTTGAATAATCGTATTATGAACATTTGATCCCGGCACATCACTACTGCATTACAGACCACAGACACCAGAATTTTGAGGCTGACACCGATAATGATATCAGGATATTAGGAGTTAAAAAACCAATGATGATATATATGTTTTTTTTTTTACCTAAACAAAGAAGAATATATTTATTTCTTTTTTAAAGAATTGTGACTAAGATGAGCACTTCACAGTGGAGTAGTTAACGTGTGACTGCTCTCTGGTGGACAATCGATGCAACGTGACACCGTTTCTAAACCTAGTTTGCCTTTTCTGTGCCGCAAATTCTTGTTAAGCCCCTTTTCCACCGCACAGCACTAGCTCGCCTCGCCTTTTTTTGGTTTTCCATTGTGGAAATGTTGCACCTGCTTCCATGTACTTTTTTTTCGTATCACCTCCGTCGAGGTTCCAAGTGAGCTGACGGATACTAAAATGTGACGTGAAAACACGACAGACTGCTGACTGGTCAGAGAGAATATTCACTATTCACTGCATCATCATTGCGCGTGCCAGACAGAGGCCAGCGACAGAAAGTTTTATATTTTACAATTTTCATAAGTTATTTCATCACTAAATCCACTTCTGAGAAGTTTTGAGTTGAGAAATCAGCTGTGTAGATTTCGAATATTGACAGTTTTACGAGAAGCGATGGGGGAACAAAAATGTGCTTGAAAGATTTCGGAGTTGAGGAGCTCTGCAAGTGCCGACCCGCGGGAGCCAGCCGCCCGCTCACAGAGCCCTCTGCTCCCGCCGTCACACAGACCGCTGCAGCAACAACGGCAGAGGGAAGCTGGAAGGTTTTCATACCGCTTATCTGTCTTTACATTCTGAGTAAGGTTGAAACGTTTTAACTTAAATCAAGAGACAGCTGTGTGGGTGTCACACTGAACATTACGTCGCGGCAGCTGTGTGTGGCGTTGCTATGACGACCAGCTACATTGAGGGGTACTATATCTGGGTACTATCTGGAATGGAAAACGGAGCAAGGCCAAACCGAGTTGGGCTGGTACTGGTAACGGAAAAACGGCATTACTTTTCGGCCAACAGGCACATCAACTATTTCTACAAGCTAATATCGGCCGTTTCAACAGATTGACTTACTGTTTTGGCGATTTAGAGTCTCTTGTTAAACTTAACGACTTCTAGTGAACTGAAACAGAGAACATTTTTCTTCTGAAGTTCGTCTTTCTTGACACACCGATCTGTGATTAAACCAGCCCAGTTTGCCTATTAACAGTTATAAAGGCTTGGGAGAGGTATAGAATAAAAAAGGGTAAAGGACACCAAAGGGAAGAAGTAGAAGAAGTAGCACAGTCCACACGCGTAGCAGATGGCTGCTGGAAGTTTTTTTAAATTTACCTTTCCGCTCAAGGACCCAAAGGTGCAGGGAGGGGTGGGGGCGGCCTTCTGTAGGGTGCTGTATCTTTTATTACAATCTTTTACAGGCATTCTCTGAAATATCTTTGATCCGTGGTTGTAGTATGAAAGAGTGTGGCAGAGACATGTTATCACATCAAAGTCAGCAACACGCAGCAGCATTGTAAACCTAATTAATCAGTGATCTAAAGCGAAGTACCTCTAGCTCAGCAATAATCTTCTCTTCGTCGTCCTCGTCTTGAATGGCCGATGCTGCGATCACAGGCGGGGTCGAGGCGGGTCGAGGGGCGTCGGAGGGGGTCCGCCTCAGCTTCACAAGAGTTTTAGGCAAGTCCCCGTCTTCTTCCATCTAAAAAGGAAAAATAAAGGCAGTAAAACATGTGTAGGCTCAACAAAAGTTGAGAGCCTGCTTCGTTTTCCGCACCTCCAAACTTGGTTTAGATAACCAGTTGGACTGTTGGGTTGGACACAACCATCCATTTCTTGTTATTGTATCACAGAGGCCTCATTGGTGACTCAAAATCCGTTCTTCATAACAGTAACCACTTAACTAGGTGACGAATCGCTCGAGCACAAATGCCAATGTTCAAGCCTGACATCGCCAGCAAATGCGAATTAGTCTGGAACCCCGCAGTTCATGCTGGATTTCCAAGAGGTGTTATCAACAAGCGCAGACCAAAATGCCTCTGGACGCAACTGGATAGACGAAATTTGTGATGCTCAATTTTCTTTTTTTTTTCCCAGTCATTTCATAGAACATAGGAAATATTAAAATAATTGAGAATAGTTAAAAATACAAAATGTCAACAGAAGCACGTTGAAAGTAACTTCCAGTGTGATACGATCTCTTTTTAAGGATCAGCTGACAGCCTATTGTAGGGTTTTCATGTACTTAAGTGTATCCTGTTTACCAACAGTGGCTCTAGAACAACAAAAGATCCAATCAGTGCAGTCCTGAGGGTTTATTGACAGTAAAGGTCACATGATAACGGACTGACTGAGAGCTTAGTCTAACAGTGCAGATGGATGGCAGAGGAATCTCACAGCCACAGACTGTATATAACAACCAAACTACATTTATTTAGCTGACGCTTTCTTTCAAAGAGACTTAATAAGTGCATTTCTACCACATGGATACAATCCAAAGACTGCAAGAATCGTGTCCAAGTACATCAACTGTTTCAAGTGCAACATTTAGAGACAACATGAGATGGACAGAGATGGGTTTCTGTTTTGTTTTCGGTGCAGCTTCACCAAACGCAACCAAACCTCAAACCAAATGAACAGGTTTGTGTATCAAGGACCCAAATATCAGAACACAGATCCACTTAACAACCCCAACTGTGACGAAACAAGTTCTGTATTGCGCTCAAGCTGCCAAACGTTACATGTAAAGTGTAACAAAGGTAAAACATGCATACGTAACACGTCACTGCCATTTCACTGTTACTTAAAGAGGTGGTATTATGCTTTTTGGCTTTTTCCCTCTCCTTTAATGAGTTATATACCTTTTTTGTGCATGTAATAGGTTTGCAAAGTGAAAAAGTCCAGCCCAAAAGGGAGTTCCCATCTCTGAACTGCCTGAAAACAGCTCATTTGTAGTCCAGCTGTTTGCAAAATGCACTTAATACAATGCTCACCAAGCGGCTACTCCGACACGCCCTCAAAAACACCGGTGTAAAAACAGTGATCTGCAGCACACAGCTCTCCTCTCCCTTCCAAACACTAGCTACCCTCCAGGCAGTCAGTGGACATAAAGTTGTTGCTGTGATGTAGAGACAGAGCTCAGTTAAAACTTTATGGATGAAAGATACTTTTGTTACAGATTAATAACTCACCACTCTGAAACTCTCGCTATGGTGTTTTTTGAAAATTAAACCATGTAAACCTGCTCTGGTACAACCTCTAAATAAGACTTTGAACCTGAAAATGAGCATAATAACACCTCTTTAAAAGAAAACTCCTCAAAGAGGAGCAGCAGAGGTACCGCCGCATTTCAGAATCTTTTCCAACCATACCATCAATCGATTAATGGAGAATCCATAATGGAAATAATATACTGTATATTAGTACAACAGGCACAAAGGACATTTAACTGTACTTTTCCTTTTTAATACTTTTGATTTTGAAATACATTTGATTATACTTACATAAGTATCATGTTTAATGCAGGACTTTTACTTGTAACAGTGTGGTAATAGTACTTCTACTAAAGTAAAGGTTCTGAATACTTTCACCTCTGACAGCTGGTGACATTGCCAACGGCAATGAACACATATTAAACTACAAATACATGGTGTTGAGTTTCCTTTGTCTTTAACAGAATAATTCCAGCAGGATGGAAGTTATTTAACACATTTCACAGACCTCAAACTGAACTTTTATGTAAATGAACTGCCATAAAATCTAATCCAATAAGGAACGTTTTGACATTGATCGATTAGAAATGGCCACGGTCCTTACAGAAGGTTTTCAGTACCTTGTTGAATCAATGCCTTGAAAAATTCCGACTTCTCTGGAGGACAAAATGAATTCTGCCCAGCAGGGTCCTCCACAGAGAGAGATATCAGGGAGGTTTTAGAGTAGCTCACTCTTGCCTGAGAACTAAACCCAAAACTGTCCCCAGCCAATGGTGAACATGTGAGAGCAGGTTTCTTAATATGTAGGTCAGAATCCAGCAAAACATGTTTCTGAATCCTACATACAAGACCACTGAGACTGTATTTGCATATCTTAGACACCTCCAGGCTTCCCTGACGGAAACTATCCAGGGCTTGTAATGGCTTCCCATAATATGTGATTGAGCTTTAGACACACAGCAGAACTGTGGATGTGTTTCAGGGCAAAGATCATAATTTATCATTATAGCTTTTGTTTTACTGATGATGTGGACATTTATAAATCTTATCCATGATCATAATCAAGACATAACGTTTGCATTTGACAATGAAATGTACAGTACGTAATGGACTATGACTTGACTTGGACTCTAGCTCAAAGACAAGACTTGGACTCTAGCTCAAAGACTTGAGACTTGGACTCTAGCTCAAAGACTTGAGACTTGGACTCTAGCTCAAAGACTTGAGACTTGGACTCTAGCTCAAAGACTTGAGACTTGGACTCTAGCTCAAAGACTTGAGACTTGGACTCTAGCTCAAAGACTTGAGACTTGGACTCTAGCTCAAAGACTTGAGACTTGGACTCTAGCTCAAAGACTTGAGACTTGGACTCTAGCTCAAAGACTTGAGACTTGGACTCTAGCTCAAAGACTTGAGACTTGGACTCTAGCTCAAAGACTTGAGACTTGGACTCTAGCTCAAAGACTTGAGACTTGGACTCTAGCTCAAAGACTTGAGACTTGACTTGGACTCTAGCTCAAAGACTTGAGACTTGACTTGGACTCTAGCTCAAAGACTTGAGACTTGGACTCTAGCTCAAAGACTTGAGACTTGACTTGGACTCTAGCTCAAAGACTTGAGACTTGACTTGGACTCTAGCTCAAAGACTTGAGACTTGACTTGGACTCTAGCTCAAAGACTTGAGACTTGACTTGGACTCTAGCTCAAAGACTTGAGACTTGACTTGGACTCTAGCTCAAAGACTTGAGACTTGACTTGGACTCAAATGTAAAATGTAACTAATGGATTAGTAGGTGTGTAACGATTCACCAAATCCACGGTTTGGTCCTCAATTTTTGAGCCACGGTTCGGTTAATATCTAATTTTTTCCATTTCTTAATAATAATGATAATAATTATTGTTTTTATCATATTACATCTTGGGTTTATTAAAATAGTTGAAGTTGCATGCATGATCACTCAATCATGACTGGACAAAAAGAGTCATGTGACACACGCACTTGGAAGACAAAAATATAACAGCTTGCACCAACTTTGAATACAGTGTGCAAGTAAATACACACTAAAATAAGGTATAAAATGACCTACAACAACCTACTGTTAATACAAATACGATATAGGTCTACACCGCTACCGCCCCCACAGGCCGCCGCCACACTGTCTTAATGAGAGCTCAAGTAGTCCGGGGAGCGGGTGTGTCACGGTTCTGTCCCTCAGGTCTCAGGTTGCGCTCTTGGTTTCAGAACCATTACAGCCCTAGTTACTAGTAACAAAAAATTGTTACAAGTAATGAATTAGTTACTAGTAAATAAACATCAACTAACTGTATCTAATCAATTGTTACTAGTAAACTGGAATAGTTACTAGTAACTAATAAATAATTACTAGTAGCTTTTAAGTAGCGACTAGTAAGTTTCAAGGAATAAATGTTAAAACGGCTTCTGCATAAATAGACATTTTAAAAGTAGATCAGGATCAGAAATGAATTGCAAAAATGTCGTCCTCCTTGACGAGCCTAAAGGTCTCACCTTCAGGTTCTTGGTGGTGACGATGACGTCTCCGGTGCGGTTGGTGGTGAGGCCGTGTGCCGAGGGGAAGCTTCGGCGGGGTGGAGGCGGAGGTGGAGACTTGGAGGGTTTCTCTGTACGATACCGGGCCACATTGAGATCCACTGTAAACACAGGACCACACTTTAGAACTTAAAAACATAAACCTGAAAAAACTGGTAAATAAACACAATTTACTGCACAGATGGTAGTAAATAAAAAGACCAGACTCACCCGACCCTCGATGTGAACCGGCCCCCTCCATGCTGTTCAGCTTCTGGGCTGCCATCTGCACTTTGCCAGGCTGCTGGTCCCCGCTGGGTGTGGTGGTTGAGGAGGTGGTGGTGGCTGTGGTCCCAGTTGCAGGAGAAGCAACTGTGGTGGAGGTTATTGGGATGGTGATCTGGGGCTTGGGGGGCACTGCCGGTTTGTTGATGTGCCTGGCAGCGAAGTCGAGGTCCGGGATGGCCTTCATCAGCTCAGCCTGGGTCTCTTCCAGCAAGCGATTGATGTCCTGGGCGCTGAACTGGGTCAAGCTGGCACGCTTCTCCTCCCAGTCCCGCTCCGCCGCCTGACACATATACAGATATAGACAAATGATGAGCTGTAACATGCAAACTTATAAACAGGCAGAGCTGGAAAAACATAATTAAGACACATTGATATAAAGTGTTTTCTAATATTACACAGATAAATGGAATGAAGCGAGTGCTGCTGCTGCTGGTGTGTGCACAGGGTCTCAATAAGATATTTAAGTAGAAGCAATTTCAAATGTAAATGGATGTGTGCCATCTGGCTAATCCTGACAAAAACATGTATTCAGTGTTGGACTGCACACAGCACTATCATATACAAATGAAGAAAAATACACATAACAGCTGATTACCAGTCTGACTTCGGCCGACACAGACTTATCAGCAGGACGCCGACTTGGGAGGTCATCGAGGACCCGGTTTCTGAAGGTCATTGAAGGCTGGAGGTCCTGCTCGGGGCCCGAGGTGTCTGCGTCGCCGGCGGACACGGGCATCCAGTTGGCCAGACCAGCGCTGGTGCTCAGGTCAGAGAGGCTGAGAGGAGGACTGTTCAGGATATCCAGGTCAGAGTTGCGACTTATGTCGTCCGATCTCTTCTGGGATTGGCTGGAGAGGTCCTCGGGGCTCTTCCACACACCTTCTGTGACTTGTCTGTACATATAGGAGGGATACAAGAAACTACAATACACACAGGACACCATGAACGTCCTGGACTGTGTTAGAGAAGCAGTCTAGAAACTACAAGAAATACATTAATATGATGCTTTATTTAAGCTTATTAGAGCTAAAACTAACATCCTCTTTTATAGAGAGTCAACAATAGAGTGATGACAGGAGAAGAGGGGAGAGAGATGGGGAACAACATGCATGGTCAGCACCTTAAACCCCTTTTATTTATTTATTTATTAAACTTTTAGTCTTTTGAAAATGTCAGAAAACAGTGGAAGAGTCCAAGGTGACGTCAAAAAACCATCAACAAAGCAACTGGTGCATTTTAGAAGTTAAACTGTTTGATTTATTTCCAAAATATACACTTTAACTAATATAAAAATGTTTATTTAATTTCATTACAAAAGTACTTTATCCACAAGCAACTATGAGACATGATTGAACAAAATATACAAAATACAAATGATACAAGTGTAAAATTTGATCTCTCACCTGATTTATTCTCTATTATTCACAGTTCACTAACCTCATCCTTTCAAGCAGAACATGATTTAATTTTATTGTTTAGCAGTTCTGTTTGCAGCAGGGCTGGGGGTCAAGATTGTTAACTGCCAAAAGTCTTATCCAGAACAAAGTGAGAGTGACGTGGACTGAAGCTAAACCTCGCTAGCATCGAATGAACGATAGAAGGAACTGTAATCTTGTATCTGATCCGAGTTCCTGATTTAGACTCTATTTTATTTAAGTTAAGTTGCTCCTGTTTAGACGACATTTACCGTTTGAAAGTGTTAGCTTCTTTTTCCTTTTAGATTGTAGAAAAACATGTTTATATTTATCAAAATATGGCGTGGATAACGAAGCTAAAACTCTGAAATGGCTCTGTTATAGAGCAGATAACATACCGAATGATACGCAGGCCTATAGAAGGGGAGTCTTAACCTTGTTGACAACATGTTGTGATGAAATAAATAACTCTTCTGCTATGATATTAAATTAAATAACAGATTGTAGAGAAACATTTTTATCCCTTATTATTTTTATTTAATTAATTCTGTGCAACTAGCCTTGAGTTTTTAGAGGAGGTCTTTGTAAAAAGCTTTTAGCTTCCTGCCTCTCCTGTACAGGCTTCTTGCAATTCATGTACATCTGGGTACAAAAGTGCTTGTGAATGTTTTTGTCTGTATGCATATTGCAGCTTTTATACCTAGTATACTTTTTATTGTGCAAGAAAACAAATAAGATGGAATAAATAAATAAATAAAAACATGTTTATAAATAATACCCAGCCCAATTATTTAGTTTAAGGTTTGGCAAAAGGAGTTTTGAATATTACCAGCAGGCTCAAAGATAATAAATCACAATAAAACGTCTACAAGAGGAGAATGTGTGGCTTGTGATCTGACCGGGTTTCATAAGAAAGTCTGATTATTTGAGCTAACTGAGGAGTGTTTGATCTGTATACCTGCGGAGCGTGCTGAGCGCGTCAGTCATGGTGTTGCAGCGCTTCAGCAGCGCGTCCAGGCGGTGAGGCTCCTCTTTCAGGAACTTAACAGCCTCCACCTCCACCCGCAGCACCACTCGCATCTTACTCTGCAGGCTGGGGAACTGGTCTGCATGGGAGGGAGAGATAGAGGGGGTAAGGAGGGGGGGGGGGGGGGATGACAGGGAGGAAAAGACAAACATATGATGAGAGAAAGTGGCGTGTCAGAGGGATGTGTGGAAGAATGGCGGCGGAGAGTGAGGGAGGTAAAAACGGGACTGATGGGGGATTACAGGAAGGGGAGACAGGATGCTGTTTCTGTCGCAGCTATTTGAAGCCACTGGATTTTCCTGTCATATCCAGAAGGCTTCAGTGAGGAGGATTCGGTGGAGGTCGGCCAAAATGAGAGGGAAGGGCACGCTAGACGTGCTGCAACAAAAACAAAGTCTGTGCTCATCTGTGGGTGTGTATGTGTGGACAATTCACAGCTAGTATTCAAAATGTTGGCTGTCCTGAAAAATGCCACTCAAATGCCGAATCAAAGCACAGCGTTGCGTTTGTAGGCACCAGGAGGACATGCTAATAACTAGGAGAGGTCAGTCTACACATTATTATAATGAGGCCCCCTGGAATTACTCATTAAGATTCAAGATGAAGAGTGGAAGTACACGGGTCAGAGTAGCAGGACAAGAGGCTAAACCTGAAACTTCATTAATATCAAGCCTGAAAAGATTCATAAATATTCATCGGTGACTTTGTGTAACATTCATTTGACATACACGCAGTACTCTAGCAATCCTAGTACTTGAACTGTGACCCTAAATTACAATTAAAGTACTGTAATGAGTAGATCTGGTTTTCTTTTTAGTTTTAGATCATCTGAGTGATTAAAATAATCTATTTACATCATAATACAGTAGCTTTATTTTAGTAATCATACTATATTATACGACATGCAGCAGAAACACTACTTGGATAAAAATGTGCAACCAATAAAATATTACTGCCATTTTATATCTGGAACTAATCCAATAACGATAATGGCAACTGTTGTGGGGAACATACTTAAGTATAACCACTTGATTAACCACTTCATTGGCTCCCTGTTAACTACCGCATTGATTTCAAGATTCTGCTCCTCGTCTTTAATGCCATTCACAACCTCGCCCCTCTGTGCTCTTAGGTCGTCTTCTTCTATTCACATCACTGCACCTTTTTCTCGTTTAACCACTGTAGGTTTCAGACCCTTCAGCCGCTCTGCCCCTCGCCATTACAGCTCTTTCCATTTTCAAATCGTGTCTGTTCATGGTGATGAAAGAACATGTCACCCAGCGCAACAGTGAGGCTCACTGATGTGTTTCAATAGTTTTTGGACAACAATGGAGCTCTGTGGCTCAGAGGAAGAAGATATATCAAGCTGTCATACATACAGACAAACCTTGTTATATACAGAATATCATCACCGTCATCATTTAAAGAAAGAAACGTGCTGATGTATAATGAGGCTGCAGCAGTGTTGGAACGGCGGGGTGGGAAAGTGAGCGTAAGGCAGGCAGTAGATGGAGGATTTGAAACAAGTTACCCTTAGCACAAGCTACTAAATGACTGATGCTCAGAGGGAGGCATACCGACCGGTGAAAAAACTTGCAAAATGACTCAAGTGTTCTCCAGAAAATCCACAGCAATCGCAGTGAACGCTTACTTTTGAGGTCTGTGAGCGTCTCTCCCAGCATCCTCAGCTCTTTGCTCTTCTGCTCCACATCCTGCTCCGTCACCAGGCCGTGGTTGACTGACGAGTTCCTCTGCAGCTCCTCCACTGACTTCTCCAGGTCACTGTGGACGAGCAGGTCACAGGTCACGAATACCGCTCAATACTACATGTGGTAAACAACGTTACATCTGTCTCCTTCATGGCGCCATTACCCACAGAGCTGCAGGAATCCCGTGACCTGTCCGGCTATGACTTTCTGTGGAAGCCACTTTCCGAGTTTTTACGTAAATAGAATCTGTGTCAAGGGAATAGCTGCAAGAATAGCTGGCTCTGCAGTGCATTTTAGGATGACACTGTCTTGTCTACAGGGTCCACACGCCCATCAGACGACACATCTATATATATTCTAAGCAAAGGAGACATCAACTTACCTCAATTCCCAGGTGGTTAGCCTTTATATGCCGCTTCAAGTTTGTAGTGTTTTGTCCAAAAATCTTATAACCACATCAGTGTGCGAACTCTACACAGCTTTCGGGGGAGCTCAGTTTTTTCCCCCCCATGACAGGGAGGAGGGGGACCAACTGTGATTCTTACTGCTGAATCATTAATAGCTGCAAGCATGTCGGCCTGGGGCTGACTGTGAAAGTATCAGGCATATTTGTCTTATTATAATTATATTTAATAATTAAATTATAATACAATTATAGTTTTTTATTATCATATGTAGCCATTTTGCGACCTGACCTTTATTTTCTCTGTGAGAGGCGAGAATTTAGAAAGTTGCGTGGCGCTGCGGGGAGCCCCGAGTTGCAGTAGTAGGCCTACATGGATCATGCGTAATATTCATCCAGCCAGAGGGAACAATCACGAACTACTAGCTACACAACCCGTACTGGAGAGGGAGTGGGGCGGACCACGGACAGGAGATTGCGGAGCGACCGGCCCGCTACGTACGGTCGGGTGATTGTTCCCTCTGGCTGGATGAAGTCTGACGCTCCGCATGATCCATGATGACAGAGAAATATAGAGATTAATGTCAATAAAGCAAGCTGTCAATATTTTAGAGAGCTCCCAAAATATCACAAATCATGCTTTTAGGGGAGCTGATATCTAAAAGCGCCTCTTTCTCCGCAGCATGTTGTGTTCATCACCAGAGTTTGCATCCTCCACAGTAACGTTTTCCTCGCGCACCAGGCATCAACCCAATCGGCCAGCATTCAAAGCACAGGAAGAAAAAAATACCGCTGAATGAACACACTGTTCAAGTGAAAATTTAGAGAGAGAAAATATGGCGTGTAATATTTTGTCTCATTATACTGACAAAAAGATTATTAACGTTTTTGTTTTATGAATTACATTTTAGTCTCGTAATTTTTCGTCAACAATACTGCACGTTAATATAGTCACAGCGAGCGTCTGAGGACATTGTCGCCATCTCGTCTTCGTCTCGTTTTCATCAGGGGGGAAAAAAAGGCCGTTGACAAATATATTTCGTTTAGTTTCTTCTGACGAATGTAACACTAGTGTGTTCAATCTAGACTATACTCTTTTGGATGCTGAATATACTCCCTCTGTTCTTCTACAGTGGCAGCCGTCTTCACTGACAAAATGTTTATCAGGAAAATGTTTAGCTGTAAATCATTTGAAGTGTATGAATTCTGCCGATGATATCTGAATTGTGGCACCGACACTAAAACAATACCAAAATACTCTAATTTAAATAGCAGCCACATTTCTCAAATGTTAAATGTTGTATATAAAGGACTTTACCTAAATAAAAGTGGCTAAATTTAAGTCAGGAACTATCTGATCAGAAAAGAAGCAAGTAGACTTTTTGCTAGCTTTCAGTACTACACCAGAGCAACCAAGACAAATTACCCTTTATTTCTTGCATGAATCAGTTGTGCTCTGAACTCACTGCAGCTGCTGGATGAGCAGCTCCTCCTGGTTGAGGTACTTGAGTCTCTCCTCCTCCACTAGGAGGCGCTGTCTCTGGAGCGGGTCCTCCTGTGTGCGCATGGCGTCCAGCATCATGAGGCTCAGCTCTGACTCCGTCTGCCTCAGCAGGGACAAGACTGAGTCCTGGTTCTCCAGCTGGGACACCAGGTCACATGGTTAGTTTCACCTGCCAGTCAGGTGCATTTTACACAGTTTTTACACTATTATATGAGCATGCACGCCCAAATATAGAGTAAATTACTAGTTTATTAAGTACACCTTGTTAGTTTTAATGTTCAGTTTTTGTTTTAGAGGTGTTGATTCATTTATAAAACACCTTTCACACATGGGATGCAGCTCAAAGTGCTTAAAAAAGTCACAAACGGGCTTGCCTTGCAGTGAAATTCTGAATGATCGAGTAGAGTCTACCGGCTTTAAATCAAGCATGTCCGCCGTTTTTCCGCTAACTGCTTCTCACTTTTCCTCTGTTATTTGCAAACCAATAAATCACAAATCAACACTTAAATAGCCACACCAAGTCCCGCCGATGTCCGCCGAGATCGTACGTCAGCATTAAATGTACTGCTCGGAAACAGCAGCCAGCGTGCAGCGGTGTGTTTACAGCAAACAGCTGATGGAGTTACGCTAAATACTGGGTCCGGAGTTGTTGTTTTAAGTTTTCATCACAAGTGAAAGTTTTTACACAGAGCCGAAGTCGGTCTCCTCTTCTGCAAAACAAGCGGAACAGCTGATTACAGCAGGTAATAAAGTGTTGTTCAAAGTAGCAAGGAATATAACTTGCTTTTGAACACTTCAAAAACATGTGACCTTGTTACTGAGTTTTGTCACAATAGGAATCATGTGCCTATTACTATCCATGACTCCGATGTGCAGATTACTGAGAAATGTAATTTTTTGGGTGTGACTCTTTCGCATGATTTGAACTGGAGCTCTAATACGACTAAAATTGCTAAGAAAGCGAGACAGCGCCTCTTCTTATTACGTAGGCTTCGAGAGTTCACTCAAAACACTAAGATTCTTTTGAACTTTTATTATTGTGTAATTGAGAGTGTCCTAAGTGTCTACATATAAAGCTAGACTTTTGAATCGAGCTTTAAAACTTGCTAATGATGCTTTAGGCCATCCTGCAGGGACCTTCTTTGAGATGCTTCCCTCAGAGAGAAGGTATCGCTCTGTCAAATGTTCTACCGATCGCCTGCAATGGCTAATAAAGTGAATCTGAATCCCGTTCCTCCGACCCTCAGACGACACAGACGTGAGTCCTGCAGCTGACCTGCAGCTCTTGTCGGCTGGAAATGTTTTATTAGCCTTCCAAACTGTCGAGATTTTATTTTTGTTTGACTTTCTCTGTGCTGGAGTTATTTTAAGAACTTTATGACTTTATGCAGCTTGTTATTAAATGTGTCTCTTCATTATACTCCCACACAAAAAAGCTGGTTTTAATGGTCAAGCATAGCCTATAGTTTTTCATTATATTCCAAACAAATCTGATTTATAAATTCTGCTCATGGATGGTCACGTCAGCCGGTTAATTTGCCTAATCTTCACAGTGGAATACGCACACAACAATGGGCTGAAGGAACCTTTTAGTTCCACGAAAAAGAGATCCGGGGACTTTTACTTTTTGTGCAAACGCGGCTTTAGATTTTCAAGGTTGCAGTTTGTGGTCTTGTTGAATTTTATTACATTATGCAGACAGGTGTTTCTGTTATTTAGTCTACCCTCAGTGATGTAGGCGGGGTGGACAAAATATTATAAACACCTCTCAGTATACAATAACTTTATTTAACAAGTTAAATAAACAAAAACTGATATTATAACCTTCATGGAGGGAGGATTTATTACAGAACTGTTGTTTTAGCCTTCATTAGTTTAAGCTAAGGGCCTGTGTGTGTATTTACTTTTAAACTGGAAGTTATATAGTCACAAAAACACAGTTAACCTGCGGTGTTGGACCCTCTTCATTCACAGCTCTGCGTACACACACCTGTATGTTGCGTAGCTGTGACAGTTGCTTGCGCAGTGCGTTGGTGTTCTGCTGCAGGCCTTGTAGGTGGAGCTGCATCTGCAGACGGGACACTGTCACCGGCTGGTTGGCCCCCGAGGGCGGAGGTGGCATCAGGGCCAAGGGAGCAGATGGTGTCAAAGCTGCCCAACAAAAAAAAAAAAAGGATTTACATTCAGGGAGTGTTCTCCTGGCTTAGTTTAGGGTTCCTTTAGAGCACAGCGGGATGGATAGAAGTTGTCCCAAAACACTGTTAGCAAATCCCAGATTTTAAATGAACGCTTGAGGGAAAAGGCAAAAAACCGTACACAGAGCATGAGAGAAACCTGGACTCTTTAGAATCCAGATCCCCGAAAGGTTTGTCTCTCATGACCTCAAATGTCCATCCAGTAGAAAAACAATTTGTCTGACTGGATACAGAAGATTGGTTGTTCCAGGATTTGGCAGCAGCAATTCAGGACAAGTATCTATCAGTGCTGTAGGTCAAGGGTGGAGATTACAGTCTTACGTAGACTTAACGATGATAAACAGCATGGGAAGGCATCGGGGGACAAACAGGGTCCGCAGTGAAAAACTGAATTTCCACTAAATCCAAGTATCTCAATAAAGTGTTTCCCAGTTACATAATCTGTTTGAAATGACAATGAACGCTGTGCTCTGACAGTAATTAGGGTGTTGAGTCACACGCATCATGCAGAACGGGACAAAGGGAAAATAACTACGAGACAATCAATCGATAGCAGATTCAAGAGTTGCATTTTAGGACCCGCTAACTGAAGCGAATAAAAAGCTGTGAAGTCCAGTCTCACCACCGGAACAACACATTTGCTGGAAGTAATGTCTCAAGCACCTCAACACCTCCACACCTCCACAGACAAGGTGACGACTTCCTACTTAAGCTGCAGTGTGTGTTCTCCCTAGAAACTCTGACCAGCAGATCTGAAGCCACAGGAGGTTTGACCACATTTAACTATAATTCGAGAGAGCTTTAGAGGAGCGTCTGACACAGTCGGCAGCTCTTCCGCAGTCGTCTTTATACCCAAATGACTTTCTGCTGCCTCATCAGTTTAGATGAATAAGAGGAATGTCCTGATTTTTACTGCGAGCACAAAGACAGTCCACGCAGATGACAGTTTGAGTCCATTTAACTACGACTGGCTGGAGGAAAATATACACTCTCATCATTCTGGCAGACGGATAAGTATCTAATCTTACCAGGAGAAAGATAGAAATGAAATGGGCTGAAGTCACAGGTTTTAAAACTAAAAAAAAATCTTAAGATTTACTGATTTAATGTTCGATAAACTACTCCGAAGAAAAGTCACTTTAAGTAACAACAGATTCAACATTTCCAGACTTATCTATAATTTGACATGAAATCAAATAATTCCAGTATTAATGCACAATCAAATAACAAGATAACACAGACTTAAATCGCAAAATCTCTTAAACAGCAGCTCAAACTGAACTCTTTATCAAAAACGAAATCAATTCATTTTATTCAGCTTTCAAAAACATGCAGTTTCATCAGCACTTTTGTAGCTGAAGCAGTTTTTTTATTTCATTATTGAAGAGGTGTGCACGCGGCAAATTATCTTTTAAGATAGTGCCGACACATTTTCAAATGCTCGGATGAATTTTCTGAACATGTCTTGCTTCCAAAAATAACTAGAAAAAGAGGAGGAACACCTTGACGAAGCATGTTTTTGTTTCACATTAATGCAACTCAGTCTTAATAAGAAAGACAGAAAAAAGTGGGAAGTGAAGGACACCAGTTGAGAGGGAGGTAAGTCCTTCAGGAAGACACATACACACACACAGACTTTTTGGAGGCTAAAAGGGATCCAAATAAAGAACAAAGAACGCAGACGGGTTGACGAGGGAACAGGTACCAGACACTTCAGGGAACACATAGCTACCTTTCTTTTTTTTAGTCCGTCCAGCTAAAACAAGAAGCATGAGCACCAGTTACACAGCAGCAAAAAGCACATACAGTATGAAGAAGCTTGCAGTGTCAGCCATTACCATCACATATGAGGCACTTTAAGAATTATGCAGAGAAAATGAAATAGCGGCAGCTCTGTGAGAGGGAGAAGAGCCAATTTATGTGGCTATCCAACAGGCAGCAGCGGGGAGCGGTGACAGGCAGTGATAGGAAATAGTTTCTCTTTATTTTGTGGGGGGGTAGTGAGCACTTACTGTCAGTTCCTGAGCAGTCACTGGCTGACTCAATCTTCTCCCTGGAAGAGGCAAGTGTTAAAGTACTTACAGCCAGAACACACTATCGACTTAGCTACTGAGAAGCTATTGATATATGGCGGGAAATCTGGGAAATATATGTGTTGCTAGCAGCTTTATTCACAACGTTGCAGAGCGTGTGTGTGTGTGTGTGGATAAGAAATATTACTATTCCCTACACGATCAACAGCAGCAGGCAGTAAATTAAGACTAGACATGAATCATAATAATTTTCTCACATCCCTAACAGTGATTTACATGGCCAGCTAAAGCAAAAAGTTCATGCATCTTTGCATATTTTCCCAGTTTTGAGGGCAGTATGTATCCTATAAATGTTGCATTACGCGTTTTGGAGGATCACACAAACAGGTGTTAAGTTACTATTAGGTATTGGTTTTGAACACAGCCTTCAAGTGTGTGGAGGCAAACATGTCGAGTGTGTTTTCTCATACTGTGTGTGCGCGTGTGTCTTACGGGCTTTCTGCCTCAGGCGCTCTGCTCAGAACTCTCTGCAGCAGTCCGGTCAGGCTCGCTATCTGCTTCTCCATGGCCTCCATACGCTCCCTGGATGCACACACCGAAAGACACACACAACACTGTAACTGATGTCTTAGTGATGGAAAACTTTCCCAGTGCCCTCCTCCCCCTCTGTTTTCATTTTAAGCCCCATACGTAGGTGAAGTAGAGGAATATTTCCCTGCTTCATGATTGATAAATTATCACCAGTACTGGAAAATCAAGAAAAATTATTTTAGTTTTACTCTTAATTCAGCATTATACATATTCTCCCCCTACAACAGCTTGGCCACAGCAGCATTTATACATCTCAGATGGAAATCAATATATTTTGAACGAACTGCCTTTGACCCATAAAAAACGAGAAATGAGAGCCCACAATTAAGGAAGCTATCACATCAACTGTGTCACAATATACAATTTTTTATAACCCTGTTCTACAAAAAAAGAGGGTCTGCTGCCAGCTGTGAGTCGATGTCACAAATAAAGAAACTGTGTGAACTAATGGCCGCGCTATATCGTTCGCTAACTGGAACTTTGCTAGCTGGTATCATGCCAGCTTGGTGAGCTAAAGTTAGCTAATGTCTCACCAGGCACAGTGGCAGAGGCTGTAGTAGCCCGACAAGTAATACCTACAAGCACCACCAATTTTGCGAGGACACATGCAGTTTCTGGTCTGAGCGAGGAAACTGTCAACAAACTTACTACACAGTTGGTGTTACGCAGCTATAAAGGTGGCTTACATTAGTTAGCATTAGCCACAATAAGCTACTGGTCATAAGTGTTGGGAAGTAACGCATTACTTTTCCCAGTTACTACTAGTGTAACGGATTACTTTTCTAAAACAGTAATATTATTACAGTTACTAATCCAAGTCACGCTGCGTTACTGAACGCACCATCCTTGACCACCATGATTGTGCGCCAGGTCAGCGGTCCTTAAATTGTTCAAGTCAGCTGTTAGCCAAAAAACTAAAGGAAGAAATGAGAACGAGCGAGAGAGGCGTTCTTTCCACAGCTGTAACTAGCTGCTGCCATTATTGTGTCACAGTCTAAGATGCAAAGAACATTGTCGTCTATTGTAAACTCTGCGCGACCAGTAAAAAGCTTTCAGCTGCAAACAATTCAAAACATCTGCTGAAGCAGCAGAGCAACATGAAACTTGAAAGAAACTCCAGCAGCTTCTGCTAGTGACGCGTTTTAAAAAAATACTGAATACTGCTCTTATAAATAGGCTACATGGGCAGAAAAACAGTAGTTCAAAGGTCAGGATTTACTTGCTTTATTTTTTTATTTCAGCCAGTGGAAATGTTATAAAGAAATAAAGAACACAAATAAACGTTTTGTTTTATACTTGCTGCTGTTTTGAATATGATATTAAATAAAAGGTCAGGAGAGAAGAGTGGGGGAAGTGAAAGCAGTGTTTCCCATACAATGATTTATTTGTGGCGGCCCACAAATAAATCAGTGTGTGGGGTAATTATCAACGCTGACCGCCACATATTGATTTTCTATTTTTTTTCTAGGCGTATTTAAAATCATATTTTATTGCAGACCTGCCGGCAGCACCTCCTCTCTCTCTCTCTCATGAACACCTCTGCACAAAGAATATAGCTGGGTTGTCGAGATTAGCTGGCTGTAGTGAATATCGACTGCGCACAGTGAAAATGAGAATGAAAAGTTTCACTTAATGGATAAATCTTGTGTAGTGCTAAATATCTAGCTGTCAGTGCTAAATACAGTACATCATGTCACAGTTATACGCATGTGAATAACCGCATGCAGGCAGAAATGCGTGTTGAGGCCGTCTCACCTGGTCTCCGTTTCATTTCCCAGGAGAGGTGAGCCGAAGCCTCCGGCGCTCCCTCCCTCCCCTCCGGGACCGGCCATCAAGCAGAGCTGCTCTGAGGTGAGACCCAACCCTGATCCTTGGCCCCGGGCTTTGGGGCTGTCCCCAAACACAGAGGTGGTCACAGAGTCCCTTCTCAAACTCTGCCTCCCGGGGGAGCCTCGACCGGGCATGGTGCCCGCGTAGGAATCCCTCATGTCGGGTATCTTCTGTGGGGAGGAAGGCGGCGGCACCCGCAGCCCCATGGCCAACATAGACGCAGCGTAGGCGTCGTTATAAAGCGGTCCTCCTGGTCTATAGAGAGCACCGCTTTCCATCAGCTCTCCTTGTAAAGCGGCTGCTGAATAGGAGGTGAGGGAACGCATTGATCCAGCACCTCCTCCTCCTCCTCCTCCTCCTCCCCCTCCACGGCGGTATAAGGAACCATAGGGGTCTGCTCTCGCTGGCAGAGGGGAGTGAGGACCTCCTGCCAGACTCATCCGATTTGTGTCTGGGCCCAGAGAGTAGGGGTCCGCATAGATACCCCCTACCCCACGTTCGTCTCCCCGCAGCAGCACCATGCTCCGAGATCCATCATCATCGGGCTTCACGTCCCTGCGCTCCAGGATGGCGCTGGAGGAGGCACAGAAGGCCGGCTGGGTGTGATGGGGCTGATGGAGCTGTGGTTGCTGGTGGGGAGAGGAGTGGTGGGACTGGGAGTGCGGGTGCGGATGTGGCAGGGAGTGGGTGTGGTGGGCCGGCCCGGCATAGGAGGAAGGCCTGCCACCGCTGTAGAGGAGGCGGGCGCGGGACGGTGAGGCTTGAGGGGAGGCGGAGGACGATGAATGCTGGGAAGACATGGGTGGGTTGCTGAGGCGGCGGTTGGTTGGAGAGTCCTGAGGCGCATACACCATCTCCCTCTATGAATAAATAAAAGAACAGATTCAGAAGCGGGCCTGTGTCAAGTAGCTCGGAGAATAAAAATCAGAGTAACTTATTTTTTAGGCCATAATTTCATCAACTTTTGTTCCTTAAAAAACTGTTCATCTTTTTATTTCCACATTCTGTGGGAGGAGAGATTTTTATTGATGATAACGAGCTGAGCGTCGCAACAGAGATGATTTGACTTGTGGCAGTAATAGATCAAACTTTGATCGGCTGCCTATTTATCTAGATAGCAAATAGATAATTAATGAGGTCACATTTACATTTATTCATTTAGCTGACTTACAAATGCTATACATGTCAGAGGTCGCACGACTCTGGAGCAACTAGGGGTTAAGTGTCTTGCTCAGGGACACAATGGTGGATGGGTCACAATGTGAATCAAACCCGGGTCTCTCATACCAAAGGCATGTGTCTTATCCACTGCGCTGCACGTAAGTTAACAGGAAGTGTAGTTAAACAGGAAAGTGTCCACAGCCCCACAGAGAGTTTGCAACAGTACTGCTGCGTACAAATCACTTCACAATACAAGATGTGGTGCTGATACAGGCACAATGTGATCGGATGGGGCACAACTGAGTCAAATGATCTTTTAAACTGACTAATGATTAGCTGATTTAAAGCCTAATGCACATTAATTTTAGGTAAATATTGTGAGATTTCACTCCGGCATCATCTTTTCTCCATATATACTGTAACGTAGATAGTTTAACCAGCTTTATTATGTAGATATAAACACACACACACACACCTACACATACAAATGTTGCTGCATTTCAAACTGCATGTGTCAGAAAAACTACACAACTTCATCATGATTCCTACTTAACAAGTGATTGTGGGAAAACAGCGATATCCCAGGAGTCATGTCCTGCTCTGCGTGATTCCTACAGTAGAACTGATGTTGGGAAAATACGGGCCCTGAGGACATCCTACATGTAGGTTAATTTTACCCTTGAAAGTCTATTTAATTTAATATTTTTTCAGCAATCATAAAAAGTTGGAAATGTCCTGGAAACTAGTCATTTAAAAAAAGACTTTGTCTCAATGAGCCAGTGCAGTTTACTACAACATCTTCCAGCGATTCATGGATGCTGTTTGAAGACTGACAGGGAAGACTCCAAAAATCGGGCCCCCGTTACTGCATTTTAAGTTGCACTTGATTATTGACGGACTGAGCATGAAGGGATTTATCTTTTGGCATCAATCCCAAATGTCGGCGAGAAAGGCAAAACAAAGCGGAGCAGAGCGGAGAGCACAGTGTAAATGAAAGCCCTGCGTCTGAGGGTGCAAGTCAAGAGTAAAAGATACAGCAAGGAAACACAAAAGAAGACAACACTGTAATTGCTTATGACGCACAAAGCCATCTCCTGGAGACGATGCAAATTGAAAAACCAATATTTCTACATAATAGCCCCTGGGTCTCTTACAACAACACCCCGTGGACAGCCTCACAGCAGCCTAATGACTCTAGTGCCATCATCTTCCATCTTGTCTCTTAGCAACAGCCTCGTATTGACACCATCCTATAACGGCGCTGGAGACATACAGACATTTCATTTCACATCCGAGACCCCCTGAAGTCACAAGACGTCTATATCGCAGGTAGGCTCCCGAAACGTTGGTCCCATGGCGCCATTCAAAACCGTCCGTTCTCCCGCTGCGGGAAATCTGCCATTCAATCTCGCGCTTCTGTCCCGCAGTCCCAGGCCTGGATGGCCTTCAGTAATCCTGGTCATGCTTTTGTGGTCTGCAATCAGTGAACAATCCTGGCTCTGTTGGCTTGGGTTCAATAACCTCACACACATAAAAACACACGTCCTCGTCACTCACCTTGGTAATGGCGGGAGCAGCAACGCACCCCCCCCCCCCATAAACCTTGAGGTAAGCCTGCTGGTTTCCAACGGCTGTAAAAAGCTAAGAAGATTTCAGAGCCACAGCACAAGCTGAGGACAGATCCCATGAGAGAGACGAACGGCTGACCTCCAAAACATTAGCGGGCAGATGCGGATCATGCACACTGACAGGCAGAAAAGCAATCAACCACACCACCGTGTAAACAAAAGCCCCCAGGGTGTTTGATTGACGGCAACAAAAACAGACAAATGTGTCAAAAATGCCCTGCTGTCGACAACACTCCATCCAAACTGTTTAATGTGCATGTTATTTTTTCACAGTGTGCGCACCGCGTATGTCTGTTCTGTAATTTATCTGGTTTATAATTTATTTTATTCTATAAAAACAGCATTCTCTAACACTTTAAACGACTGCGTTCTCATTTTCCATAATCGCACTGCAATTAGACGGCAACAAAATGCAAGGTCGTGTACAGAAAACACTAACACTGCAAAAACCGACATTAGGCACTCTATCTATTGGCAATGGTTTAATTTGCTCCAGCTGTAACCAAATGCATACAGCATTAGTAATCATGCTAATAAGGATGACGCCACATTCGTTTTGCCAGCAGCTGAATGATGAATTAAGATAAATCCTCTTGTGGCTCATCAATAAGAGCACAGTGACTGAACAGGAGGGTTGTTACTGTGGTGCTATTGAACACTACAAAGATAAAGGAGGACTTCTTATAGTTATTTAATAGCATTGTTGCTACTACATGCACCCACTTTCCACAGGTGCAAACAATTAGTTAATTAAAAGATAAGATGATCAGAAAAATACTCTTTTTTGCACCACAGAACATTTTTATGTTTACCACGTTGGTGTGGACCAACCAACCCAAAGGTCGGGATATCGTAACTGAAATAAAGGTTAGACTCCAATGAGGATAAACGAGTAGTAGTTAAAGTAGTCCCTGTTATGTTTCCTTCCTCCTCCGAAGAAACTCTCAGACTCCTACGTTTACACTGCAGGCCTTAATGCTCAATTCCAGATTCAGATTTTTTTGACTGACAGTTCACATTATTGTTTAAACGTGAACTGTCCCCGTCCTGCAAGTGATCCGCACGCGCAGAAGAGAATAATACGACGTCACACGCAGCATTACTGTTTCTGGTGCTTGTAAAAAATTGTTTCTGGGACCGGGCACCACTGATGACCGTACAAAACACAACTTTATTCACCGACTTTGCTGAAACTGGATCATAGTTGATGAAAAATATTATCTGTTTTTCTCTCGGGTGTTCCCGGCTGCTCTGCCTCAACCTCTGTCATTGACAAAGTTCCCAGGTTTACTTGTTGCTGTAGCAAGTCAGCTAACTGATGATAACTAGCTGCCATTATCTAATTAGCTCAGTTAGACTGCAGCTGCTGGTCAAATTAGCTCACACTGCCCGTACTGTGAACTCTGACCACCGGAGTGTGTGTTTAGGTTTACACCGTTACTCAAGCACTGGAGGTTTTCAGGCCAGGACAATCTGTGAGCACATGATAGCAAGGTAGAGGAGAAACAGCGCCACATCCAGACCATCCAGACTGAGGTTGCATTTCAGAAAATCCGACCTGTATCTGATTTGGACCACATATGAAAGTGGATCAAACTGGAACATTTTACTGTAACATTTTTCAGCAATTCATGGATGCCGTTTGAAGATTCAGAGGGAAGGCTCCAAAAATCGCCCCCCGTTACTGCATTTTAAGTTGCAATTGATAGATTATTAACGGACTGAGCATGAAGGGATTTATCTTTTGGCATCAATCCCAAATGTCGGAGAGAAAGGCAAAACAAAGCGGAGAGCACAGTGTAAATTAAACCTGGAAAACACTTTGACTCTTCACACTATTATAAACAAATCAGATCTGAGTCATATATGAGCAAAAAAAATCTGATTCTGCAGTCTGAATGCAGCTTTAGGCTGAATTCAGATCAAATAAGATGCTGCAGCAAAAACGTAGGTCCTCCCATTCATTTTGAATTGTGGTAGTCCGTTTGGGCTGCAGCAGTGGGGGCCACGGGAAATGCTAGGGGAAAAAATTCCCATGACCTGCAGCGGAAAAGTTGAAACACAATGAAACGCAAACTGGCATCACGCTGCTGTGGCCAATCCAGCCACAGAGTTCCACAGTCAGCCTGAAATATCACTGAAACCAGGCGGAGTTCAGGACCAAACGACGATACGCCGCTAGTTGTGTCCTAGCTTGGTGTATTTCATGAACTGTCTGTGTCTGGCTTATGCAGTGATGCCAACAAGCATTTGTTTTAGAGAGAGAGAGAGAGAGAGAGAGAGAGAGAGAGAGAGAGAGAGAGAGAGAGAGAGAGAGAGAGAGAGAGAGAGAGAGAGAGAGAGAGAGAGAGAGAGAGAGAGAGAGAGAGAGAGAGAGAGAGAGCGCAAGTAAACAGTCACACCGCTGCACAACCCTGCAGCTAATAACTGCAACTGTCTTCTGTAATGTGATTTTATGTCATGTTTTAATTTCCTGCACTTATTGTCTCTTTAACATTGTTTTGTATTAACTGCCTGCACTGTACACGTCCTTATTTGCATGTTGCTGTCTTTCTCCTCTAAGCTGTTTATCCTGTTCAGCTGCTTCATGTTTTGCTTTCTCCTGTTAATTTAACATTTGGACCATAGACAACATCTAAAAATTTGCCTTTTTGATCATACTGGCACATTTATCCAGCACAGTCTCAGCTTACTTGTTTAGTCCAAACCACAGTTTGACCAGCCGGAGTGAACGAAACAGAGCAAGCAGCAGAGTTTGTAAATTCAGAAGTACAAACGAAGCACATGCTGATTAAGTGACAACCAACTAATATTATACACCCCTATTTTGGTTATAAATCAGCAAATTGTTGTTGTGACCGTGATGAGGACAGAAAGAGAACCGAGTCCACCAAGTTCAACATAATTGTCACACAACAGTCCACAGAGTGATTTAACTATTATTTACACACATCAGTTTCAGAACCACTATTCTATTACTCTGTTGAACTGTGCTATTTTGTCTACAGTTACAATAAAACCGTATACTTGATCTTCTGCATGTAAAGCTGACTTGTTATGAACTTTACTAAGAGGATAAATAGTAAAGTGGAGAGATTAAAACTGAAGTTATTTCTCTTTATGTAGGCTATAAGAAACAGAACATTTTATGTTCATCACCACTGCTAATAATGATATTTTCATTAGCTTTAGATATTCTGTCCCTATATTATAATTTGAATATTATATATTATAATGTGTTATGCAAGGATCTGCTTTTCTGTTTTGGATTACAGTAGATTAAATATCTGGGTTTTAAAACTTTTCATCAAAAAAAAAAAAACATTGGCAGATGAATTAATAAGGATATGTAAATATTTATGCATATCACTGCACAAACTGCCATATTGCCAATATTCCTCATTATTCTTTTAAAATGTATATATTTATATAAATACAAATCCTCTCCCCCTGTAAACACACAAATTTGGAGTAATAACTATGTTAATAACTGTCACATTGTTTTTGTTTTCTTTTACACATAGTTCTATTTTTTCTTTTTTTTATAACTTGAATATTGTTTAGTCTATATTTATATATTTTTAAATGTAATTTATGTCAACTGTAGGTTTACGTCTAGCTCCTAATCAGCATAGCAAATTCCTTTTACGTGTGAAAAACTACTTGGCAATAAAACTCTTTGATTCCAAACTGCAGGTCAGCGCTTTGCAATGCACTTCCAGTGTGTGTGTGTGTGTGTGTGTGTGTGTGTGTGTGTGTGTGTGTGCGCTTGGGTGAAGGTGAGTAATTGTGTTTTGTTCGCCGGTTAAAAAGCACTGTATACAGTAAGTGCAGTGCATTTTCCATCTACCCAGACTTCACACTGCGTCCACGACCCAGTCCTCAGATGAACTGGACCACAGTCCATCACCCCGGAACGGTGTTTATGCCATTTTACAGTCTGTGTCTGCATCCAGCTTAGTCAGCACCGCTGATGTGAAGGACTGGCACCGGTCCAAGAGCAGTAGTGCCGGAGTAAGGTCACATGACTCACTCGTATCCTCTCAGAGAGCGGATGAGACTAACTTATTCTTGGACTCATTATGTAATGCAAAATAGTGTTTGTAAACACAGAAATAATCTCAGGGCTATGTGGGTGATGGATACTGGCGTGGGGGTGAATAACTAACAATTTTCCAAGGGAATTACAAAATGTATTATTCGCTGGATGATTTGGATGGCTGCTATCTGCCAAGCGTTTGTCTCGCTCGCTAATCTATGAGTCATGAGCCAGCTGCACAGAGAACGAATTGGTACTGAAGGAAAAAGGTGACTGTGACTGAAGCAGGATCATTTTCTTGGCATCAGTGGATTTTGGCACCACAAAAATACAAAGCTAATATGGATGAAATGACACGAATATTGCACAACCTCTCCGTCATTCTCGTCTCTTAGAAGCTGTGACCGGACTTTTCCACATCACTGAAAATTCTTCTAAATTCTTAAAATGAGGGGAACTCTCTTTCTCTGCAGAGAAACATTTGCACCCACACAAAGATGGGGGAATAAAGTGACACAATAATGTACAAACACTTACCCGCAGGTCTCCGTTAGCCAGGTGTGGGTTGTGGTGTCCGGGGTAGGTGCCGTAGATGGGCTCTTTGCAGTAAATCTTGATTACGCAGCGGTCCTGAACGTCCCGCGGGTCCTCCAGCTCGTAGAAGACGTTACGGGTCTCATCTTTGATCAGCAGAGCTGTGCTGGGAGACCTGAACATCAATAGTCATCAAAACAAAATCAAAACTGATAAACAGTCCATGCAAAGCCAATTTCAGCACCAATTACCCGCTAATAATCAGTGACATGCATTAATTTACAGAGTAGGAGGGGAACTGAAGGAACTTTAACTGCATGAGGCGCCTGTAATGAGAGAATCAACTGGACGCAGTCTCATATTGAATTCATCAGAAGGGTAATATTCTGTGAGTCTGGAGTTAAGAGAGTCCTGCTGACAATAACAAAGTGAATTGGATGTTTCAGAGCAGATTATACAAATAATCTATAATTTAAATGTTTTTCAGAAGATGTTTTTTTTTTGGAAAATGGGAAGACTGTTGTCCTGTATAAAAACCTGTTGAGGAATCATCGGGTCTGAGCTTAAAAGTCAAACTGAAATTCATTTTAGTCAGAAATCAATGGTTCTTGTTTTGACTTGTGCAATTTTTCGGTCAACAAGACGTTTAATTTCATCTATTTTTCTGCAGTGATAGCGCCCCATACATTAGTGCCGTTAGCCGTTGCCGGGGATCAGCATCAAATCACTCCATGAGTCCGTACATTTCTCCCGAGTGGTGATTCATAACACGGGGAGCTGAGGACGTCCCGCCGCTATGAGGCTTGACAGTCTGGTCTTTTGCCATCAACACATCTACCTTCCACTTTTTCCACCACTTAGCTTAGCCTACTAGCTTCCACTTCCTGAGTGGAATACAAGCTTAAAGGCACAACCAGGCGTGTTGTAAAGGGAAAGACAGATTACAGTAGACTGCTAATTACATGCAGTTAGCTGGCCAATCAGGGGCTTGAAACTTAACACTCTTTTCAAAAATTGTTCCAAAAATACTTTTATCCTCTTTTGATATGTGTTGTTATAGTTTATATTTCTTTACACAAACAATGAGGGGAATTGAAACTTCAGTTCAACTTAATTGGTCATTTCAACATGCTTTAACTGTAAAGATGAGATTTTATGCACATCCACTTGTGGCCTCGAAGAGGCTATTTCACACCTCCTTTGGCTTTATTGATTTTTTTATCTGTCTTTTATTCCTGATTTTCTTCTCCATCTGTTTACAAAACGTATTATTTGTATTTCTGCGTCTGAGGATGAAAATCGCAATGTGTCATTTGCACAGCCCATCTCGTGACTGATTGAAAACTTCCATTGCAGCGCTGCAAATGTTCAGAAAACATCTAGGCCAATCAATAACTTGTGCACACACATATTTACACACACACACTTTTATTGAGATCGAGTTTCTTGTAACCAGGCGTACCTGAGCATGGCCATGGTAAGCCTCTGTGGGAACATGTGCACGATGAGGGCCCTCAGAGTATCCAGGCTGGTCAGCTCGTGGGTCAGGTGCACCCTGCGAGTCTCTTCCCCAAGCTGGAGGAACAAGATCCCTGAATTTATGGATGGGGAGGAGCAATGAGGGAGATCCACGATGGTTAAAGGGGGGTAGTGAAGTTTAGAGTCAGGGGTGAAGACAGAGAAAGTATTAGTTTTTTTATGCCCGCTGAGAAGAATCAACTAAACACACAGCTTAGCTTAAACGATGCAATTGACCCCGGACACACACCCCGCACCTCCTGCCTCCTGTAATGCTCAATATATCATTCAAAATTCACAGAACTATGGTTACATATAAAACGTCATTTTAATATCTACACTTACAAGGCACAGAATGGTGAGACTGTACATGTTTCTTGTAACTTCTGCTAACTAACATCATAAGGTAGCTTGGAACATTATTGTCTTCTGTCGACACAATTATCACCCATCTAGAAGCTGCAATAGCAACGCGAGCAAGTGGAAATTCTTACCAGTGTGTGACGTTACAGTACGAGTAAACTGACTCAGTGATGGATGCGATATAGAACAGTTTAAACACCAGAGAAAGCGCACGGTGCTTAAAACCTTCTTCATTCGAAAAAGAAGCTACTTTTAGCTTTAGTTACATGGTTCTCCGTTGCTCAGGAGGTCCACTAATCAGAAGCTCGGTAGTTCGATCACCGGCTCCTGTGGTCTGCATGCCAAAGTGTCCTCAAATAAGATCCTGAACCCTAAATTACTCTACTTGAAGTAGAAAGGGGCAATTTACGAGTTGCATTTAGCTATAAATTGCCATAATCAGGACATCCGGTTTGTAGTATTTTACATGAGTATATCATTAACAAAGCTACAACATTGTTTTGGTAGTTTGTGAATTTCTTCAGAAACACAACACTCAAGAATTACATCAATCATCGGTTGCATTTTGTCCCACGTTTTCTAACTCCTGCAAATGCCTCGCCCTCCTCTTCATATGGGAGATACATAGAGGAAACAGATGATTTCATTTCTTGCGTAAGCCATTAATCAAAGATGACAGGTAGCTTTGCAAGATCATTTGGAAGCATAGGACAACTCTGTTCATATTCGCCGTTCCTACAGCCAGTGGACCGAAGTCTGGCTTTGACTCGACACTCGGGGGGTTTTAACAGGTTTACAAGATTAACACTTGATGCCTTCAGTCAGTCTCAGAAATGTGTAAAACAACTTGACATGTAGGCTGCTCTGCAGGTGAGTTAGACTGCAGTGTCAAGAGTGTCAGCAGATGTAATGAACAACATACAATAATTACATTAAGAGTCTACAGACATGCTGGCAGCTCTGTGAGGCTGTTCTTTAGCTTTGAGCTAACGTTAGCAGGCAAACATGCTTATAGCAACAATGCTAACATGCTCAAGTTGAGCAGGTACAATGTTTATAATGCTCACGCCCCAAGCATGGCTACAAAAACATCATAATGTTGAAATTTGAGAATATATATATACACACAGAGGGAACCACCAGCATGTAGCAGCCAGGATTGAAAACTGTGGGCAGAGTGGAAATCTTATTGCAGAAGTTGAGGGGTAAACTGAGGAGATATGAAGCTGAAACCTAATTTCTATTTCAATGTTCTACTGTAGCCAGTTTCTAGTGATCTCATATGAAATTAACCCTATATCATCCTTCTGTGGAGAAAGAATTGGTCACTTTTTACACCCAGCAAATGTGCATTCAAGACCAAACTACAAGCAATGGACCTGTACAGTCACAGTGTAGACAGTGGTCTGACCTGGCGCCCGCAGCTTCGCCTGGCTGGATGAGCGGGCCAGCGGCAGGCTCTGGCGAAGCCGGTTCATCCGGTTAAAGCCGATGGGGATGTCAGGCTCCGACATGGTCTCCAGATTTTCAGCTGACGCAAAGGATACCCTGTTGGCCTGGTCAGCAAGAGCCGGCTGTGTTGGGCTGAGTCGTGTCACACGTGGTGTGCGAGTCTGCAAGACACAAGATAAGAAGTAAGGAGAGAAGATAAGAGTCCACAGACAGACAACAGATGATGCTCTGACATTTCTTTCTGTCGTGATGAAAATACAGTAATCAATGTGTTGACACCAAAACATGTAGAACACACAAACAAAATGGCCCCGGGAAATCAATGCAAAGAACAAAACAGCGACTGAAAACAAAGCTTTTAGCACACAGGCACAGAAAAAAAACAGTTTACCTCAAACAAAGCAGCCTTCACATCTTCCTCTACCAACAGAGGCTCAACAAAAAGGAAGCTGAATCCCGAAGATAAAATTAGAGCTTCAGACAGAGCAGCAGAGGCAGCCAGGTTAAACAAACCGGCTCTAACCAACATCAGAGTCAAAATACGCCAAGACTGCCCTCAGAATAGTCCAACTGCATTAATAATGGACAAAATCTATTGAACACAGTTTCAATTAAATTTTCAGAAGGGGAGAGTGGAGTGTGTAACGATGATAAAAAAAAAAACTGGTCAGGCAGCAGAGAAATGTTTCTGAGGAAGGATAAAATAAATGGATGTTATTCTGCAGCCACTAGAAAATGCTCCGGCCCGAGCAAATGACAGCGAGCTGGCTTCAACTGTTTGGTAAAGACTTGCGAGCATTGCAATGCTAATTTATGAAGCTAATGCTAATGAACAAAGCCTCTATCCTTAATGCAGGTTCCTACTGATATGTCACCTGTCCAATACGAACAACTGGGGAGCCCAAATTATAAAGGACCTCTCATTACAGCACTAGCAGGAGCTGCTGCAGCAGGTTGGCTTTTAATGAATCCTCATTGACAGACATTTTCCAGCCCAAAGAATACAGTAATGAGCTCCCACAGTGCTATGTGAAGCCAGCTCAGATAGCTTTCTGCATCTGTGGTCTTTGCTTAGTCCTCGCAAACGCTATATGGGTGCAGTTTGATTTCTTGAGGCTCCAACAAGCTGAGAGCATGCAGGCATGGAAATCAGCCATGCATTAGTACGTTAACACGTAGGAAACACTAACAATCATATCAAAGACATGAACACTGGGGATAAAATGTTCTGCAGACACACATGCATGCACACAGAATCCTGTTGCATCAAATTATCTCGCTTTGCTCCTTCTACACATTAAGAATGTTTTGAGAATCCTTAAAATGCGGAAACCATCCACAAGCACCCACAAACATCTCTGAACACTGACAACAGCCTGACAGATTATATGTGCTGCCTCTCATATGTTAGGAGATTTATGGTCTCGCTTGTCAGCCAGACGCTGCACACCTTCTGCCTTCAAAAACACACAAGAATCAAGCTAGTGAGGAGAACAAGAACGCAGTAACTGGGAATTATAAAGTTTGTGTTTAGTGAACTGTGAAGAAAAGAGGAGAAAGAGAGCAGATAGAGGTTAGAAAAAAACGAGCATGCCAGAGTTTATATGCACAGGAGAAATGAAACATGGAGAAAGGAGAGAACAACAAACAGCAGAGTAAAGGAGGGAAACTCAACGATGGATGAAGAGATATATTACTAACTCCTAACTAGTTTCAATTTTCTGCAGAGGACCTTTTCTTCAGGCAAACAGGAAGACAGCAAGTTTGGCTAATGGTCAAAAAATCTTCCCACAGGATCTCTCGGTGGACCTCCTCCCGCCTCACTCAGTCACAAGACTGCAGCTGTCATAGTTAAGCAACTTCGGTTTAGGGCTGCAATTACCAATTATTTTTATTGTTGATTAATCTGTCGATTAGGGCTGGGCAGTAAAACAATAACAATCGCAATATAATTTTCCTTAATATAAAAAATCTTTGCTAAATGTTTGATTTTATTTGTTTGAATCACGAACACATTAGTACTTAATTGACTTAAAGATATTTGTTTTGTTGAGGAAAAGGGACAGATAATTTGACTCATGCATATTTTTTGAAAAAGCATTTTCATTATAATAAGCTCTTGTTGAGTGATCCACTGTTTGGCATAAAGAAAAGTTTAAAACCACAGTTAACCATCTGGTTTCTGCAACTTTCACGCAGGAGCAAAAATCAGCCTTTAAACTTAGAAGAAATAAAGATGACATTTATCGTGATAATTATCAATCTTGAATGATATGAAATGATTTATCATGATAACATTTTTGGCAATACTAGTATTTTCTCGATTAATCGATTAGTTGTTTGTCTATAAAATGTCAGAAAAATGTCGATCAGTGTTGCCCAGAGTCCAATGTGACGTCTACAAATATCTTGTTTTGTCCACAACCCAAAGATATTCAGTTTACTGTCAAGAGAGGAGGAAAGAAACTAGGCTATAATCAGATACTCTGACTCTCATCAATTAATATAGCTTAAATAGTTAGTCAAATCACACTTGTTTGATGACTTAATTCACACATTTCATGGAACATAGTGAGAATATGTGATCATTGTCATTCACGTACTGAAGTGTAAATAAAAAATGATTTTTGCAATGACACGGAGAGAAAGCGAGCTGGAAAAACGTCTGAGAGGTTTGAGACTGCTAAATTAAATATGGAAATAAAATGAATATAGATTCACATGTTTTAAAGAAAAAGGTTCTTAGTCATGTTGAAAGTCTGAGTGCTGTTTCCGCAGCTAGAGAATCCTTTGAAAAAACAGATCTTACAGAGGATTAAAGGATAAAAGTTTTTACATTAAACAGATTAGTAGCAGAATCTTCTCTCCTCCATTGATCTTGTGTTTTATTTGACTGATGAAAAATGATTTCTGACGTATAAATGTAGCATCAAACACAAAATAATCATCTGTAAATCCTGAAGGAAAAGGTGTCTGAAAACTGAGATAACATCAGAGGGAGTTCACTGACAGCCCCCTGGAGCATCACAGTTATAATATCACTATTGCTAATGCAGTGGGATGCTCTGGTTGGGGTAACGTCTTCAGACAGAATCCAGAAGAGTGATTTCTTCATCTAATAGCACTGCTGCTAAACAATATGAGAATTCACATGTTGTTAGCACTTGATAGGATATTCTGCTCCTTTGGGATTTTAAAGGTTAACCGAAGATGCAAAAACATTGGTTAGCCATCGACAGGAAAGTTGTTTCGCTTGTAAAACAGAAATCCAAAGCTTCAAAATCAAATCAAATAATTGCTGTCATTTTTCAAGAAAACAATTCCAGCTGGTTCTTAAATGTGAGGATTTGTTGCTTTTAGATTATAATATATTTGGTTTGGGGCTGTGGGTCAAGTAATGGTGTGTTCATATACACCGCGGATTTAATCCTCGCAACGCTTTCCTCGCCAAGTGTTCACACACAACGCGATAACGCAAATAAACACAGCCCGCGATTACTGCAGCTGTATGAACCCAAAGTAAACATTTTGCTGTGATTTAATAGCAATAAACGGATCAAACTGATGCCAAAATAACTACAATATGATGCAGATTTGTTAAACATCTTTCAGCAAGTCAGCAGGACAATAACACTTAAAGAGGTGGTATTATTCTCATTTTCATGTTCAAAATCTTATTTAGAGGTTGTACCAGAGCAGGTTTACTGTGTTGAAGGCTTCGTTTTAGATACGGAGTGATACATCTTGTCTCTAAATGATCTTTGTTGGGAGTTGCACATGCGCAGTTCCTAGTTAAGGACTACTAGCCAATCAGAAGCAGAGAAGGGCGGGTCAGTGAGAAGCCGGTAAACACGGCTTCGGTTCAGCTGTACATGTTGCCGACCAGCTTGGCAACATGGACTGGAGAGAGTTTCAGAGTGGTGAGTTATTAATCTGTAACAAAAGTATCTTTCATCCATAAAGTTTTAACTGAGCTCTGTCTCTACATCACAGGAACAACTTTATGTCCACTGACTGCCTGGAGGGTAGCTAGTGTTTGGAAGGGAGAGGAGAGCTGTGTGCTGCAGCTCGCTGTTATTTCACCGCTGTTTTTGAGGGCGTGTCGGACTAGCTGCTTGGCGAGCATTATATGAGGCACATTTAGCTTTCATCCAAGGGAAGCGGCTGGACTACAAACGAGCTGTTTTCAGGCAGTTCAGAACAAAGTTTTCTGTGGGAGATGGGAACTCCCTTTGGGCTGGACTTAGGTTTGCAAAGTGAAAAGGCCCAATTACATGCACAAAAAAGATATATAACTCAATAAAAGGAGAGGGAAAAAGTTTAGCAGCTCTCTGTCTGTCAGCGGCGTTTCACTCCCCCGCTCTGCCTGGTCCTCTCTAAACAATGCTCTGAAGCCACAGGCTTTCGCAACACAGTTTCATGCAAATTTCTCGCTCAATTTGAAAAATTTCAACGCCAGCGAACGTCGCACCAAACGCATCTTCTGCATCGCCCGGAGCGAATTCGCATCTTTGCATTGACTTTGCGCAATAAAGCTGCGCAAAACGCTGGATTCACTTTCATTGTTAACACACCATAAAACAAGACATTTGAAAAACCCTTATGACATTTTACAGACCAAATGATTAATCCATACATTTTGAAAATAATCTGTAGATTAATAGATAATGAAAATCATCATTAGCTGCGGCTTTACATAGATCTAACCTTTTGTGTTTCCTGTAAACACCCAATTTAATTTATTTTAGAAAAGAAGTTACTAGTTTGCCCATGTAGGTTTTCTGTTAACAAGCTCGACACAGCGTTAAACAATGCTGTTACATATTTCCATGTCTTCTTCGGGGATCATCAAGTGGGGAGAAGGTTTTTTGTAAGAGTTAGCTTCGGCCTTTTGGCTGCGCGGTCTATCAGCGATGAGTTAGCATGTCATGTACTATATGAATCCATCAAAAGCTTTTATAGGAACTTCACATACAGAGGAGTCACTCGTTAAACATTCAGACAGATCATCTCTATCAAACTCAGAGGGCTTGGTCCGGCCATGTGGACTTTGGGAATCGGAGGGTCGCCGGTTCAAGTCCCGCACGGAGTGTGGACTGGTAGCTGGAGAGGTGTTCACAACCTGAACCCCTAACTACTTGGGAAGTTTCCGGAGAGCATA